TCAGTTGGGTAAATACCTAGGAATACAATTGCTAGATTGTAGGGTAAGACTATGTTTAACTTTGGAAGAAACTGCAAATTGTCTAAGTGGCTATTCTATTTCATTTGCCTACCATTTGGTGTACTCAGTTACTTTTGATTTTATTCATTCTAATAGGTATGTTTTAATTTGCAATCCCTTTATGACAAGTGATGTGGAACATCTTTTCATTTATTTAGCTGTTGCCATCTGCATATCTTCTTTGGTGAACTGTCCAAGTCTTTGGCTATTTTTTAATGGAATTGTTTGATTTCTTATTGTTGAGTTTCAAAAGTTCTTAGTATATTATTGACACAGATCCTTTATCAATAGTGTCCTCAGAGTTTGTCTTTAATTTTTAAAAAGTCTAACTTACCAATTTTTATTTCACAGATTATGGTTTCCATATTGTATGTTAAAACCTATCAAACCAAGGTCACAATGGATTTCTCCTTTATTTTCTTCTATACATTTTATATTTTAAATTTAGATCTAAAACCCATTTTGAGTCAATTTTTGTGAAAGGTATAAGGTCTGTGTCTAGGTTTTTTCTTTTTGTGCATACGCATATCCAGTTGATGAGAAAACTGTCATTGCTCCATTGATTGTCTTTGTGCCTTTATTACTCCATTGATTGTCTTCATGCCTTTGTCAGTGATCCTTTGACTGTATTTCTGTGGATCAGTTATTTCTGGGCCCTCTCTTTCATTCCATTGATCTGTGTTGTCTTTTTTTCCCCTCCATTACTCACTGACTTGGTTATTGTAGCTTTATAGTAAGTCTTAAAATCATAGTCTTAAATTTTATAGTAAGTGAGTCTTACAACATTTTTCTTCTTCAGTGTTGTCTATTCCAGGTCTTTTGCTTTTCCCTGTATTCTTTAGAATATGATTGTTAATGTATGAATTTCCCTCCAGGATTTTAACTGTGATTGCATTAAGTCTGTAGATCAAGTGGGAAGAACTGGCAACTTAACAACAGTGCCTCTTGCAACCATGAACATAGGATGTTTCTCCTTTGATTTTTTATCAGAGTTTTGTAGTTTTCTACATAGTTTCTGTATGTATTTGATTAGATTTGTGCCAAAACATTTAATTTCTTTTGTTGTTTCAATAAATGTTACTGTGTGTGTGTGTTTAAAAGACTTTCTTTTTTTGTAGCAATTTTAGGCTCACAGCAAAATTGAGAAGAAGGTACAGAGATTTCCCATATGCCTTCTGCTCCATCATATGCATAAAAAAATATGGAAAATCTCACAGATTTGCATGTCATCCTAAGCAGGGGCCATGCTGATCTTCTTTGTATTATTCCGATTTTCATATATATATATCCTGCCAAAGCAAGCGCTATTATTGTTTTAATTTCAAATTTCAATTGTTCATTGTGGTATATAGGAAATCAGTTAGCTTATTAATGTTCTATACTGAGACTGTGTTTTATGCCCTTATTCTAGGAATTTTTTGTTTGCTTGCTTGCTTTGTTTTGTTTGGTTACTTCCTTTTCTTACTGCCTCAGGCAGGCAGGCGTCCCAGCACAATGTGAATGGGAATAGTGAGCACTGACCCGCTTGCCTTGTTCCCAGTCTTAAAGAGAAAGCATTCAGTCTCTCACCGTTGAATATAATAATTAGTTACAGGATATTTAGATGTTCTTTTCAACTTGAAGAAATTACACTCTGTTCCTAGTTTGGTGAGAATTTTTATCATGAATGGTGTTGCATTTGGTTAGATGCATTTCCTACTCTGTATGATCACATGATTTTTTTTTTTAAGTCTATGAAGAGTTTTATTTTACAGCCTAACCTTTTCTTTTATTTTTTTTATTTTGGTCTCATTAATATACAATCACATGAGCAACATTGTGGTTACTAGATTTCCCCCATTATCAAGTCCCCCCCACATACCCCATTACAGTCACTGTCCATCAGCCTAGTAAGATGCTGTAGAGTCACTACTTGTCTTCTCTGTGCTCTACTGCCTTCCCCGTGCGCCTCCCGCTATGTTATATCTGCTAATCGTAATGCCCCTTATTCCCCTTCACCTTCCTTTCCACCTACCCTCCCCAGTCCCTTTCCCTTTGGTAACTGTTAGTCCATCCCTGGGTTCTGTGATTCTGCTGCTGTTTTGTTCCTTCAGTTTTTGCTTTGTTCTTATGCTCCACAGATGAGTGAAATCATTTGGTACTTGTCTTTCTCCGCCTGGCTTATTTCACTGAGCATAATACCCTCTAGCTCCATCCATGTTGTTGCAAATGGTAGGATTTGTTTTCTTATGGCTGCGGAGTATTCCATTGTGTATATGTACCACATCTTCTTTATCCATTCATCTACTGATGGATACTTAGGTTGTTTCCATTTCTTGGCTATTGTAAATAGTGCTGCACTAAACATAGGGGTGCATATGTCTTTTTGAAACTGGGATACTGCATTCTTAGGGTAAATTCCTAGGAGTAGAATTCCTGGGTCAAATGGTATTTCTATTTTTAGTTTTTTGAGGAACCTCCATACTGCTTTCCACAATGGTTGAACTAGTTTACATTCCCACCAGCAGTGCAGGAGGGCTCCCCTTTCTCCTCATCCTCGCCAGCATTTGTTGCTCCTAGTCTTTTCTGTGTTGCCCATCCTAACTGGTGTGAGGTGGTATCTCATTATGGTTTTAATTTGTATTTCCCTGAGTAATTAACAATGTGGAGCATCTTTTCTTGTGCCTGTTGGCCATCTGAATTTCTTCTTTGGAGAAGTATCTGTTCATTTCCTCTGGCCAGTTTTTAATAGGGTGATATGCTTTTTGGGTGTTGAGGCATGTGAGTTCTTTATGTATTTTGGATATTAACCCCTTGTCGGATATGTCATTTACAAATATATTCTCCCATACTGTCGGAGGCCTTTTTGTTCTGCTGATGATGTCCTTAGCTGTACAGAAGCTTTTTAGCATGATGTAGTCCCATGTGTTCATTTTTTATTTTGTTTTCCTTGCCCGAGGAGATGCATTCAGGAAAAAGTTGCACATGTTTATATTTAAGAGATTTTTACCTATGTTTTCTTTTAAGAGTTTTATGGTGTCATGACTTACATTCAGTCTTTGATCCATTTTGAGTTTAGTTCTGTGTATGGGGTTAGACAATAATCCAGTTTCATTCTCTTGCATGTAGCTGTCCAGTTTTGCCAGCACCAGTTGTTAAAGAGGCTGTCTTTTCCCCATTGTATATCCATGGCTCCTTTATCGATCACATAATTTTTTATAAGCCTTGTTGATGTGGTGGATCACATTGATTTTCTAATGTTGAACCAAACTTCCGTACCTAGTATGAACCCACTTGGTCATGTTATATAATTTAATACATAGTTGGAATCAATTTGTTACTGTTTTTGAGGATTTAACTTCTTTGTTCTTGAGAGATTGATTTATAGCTTTTTTTTCCCCATTTCATTATGTCTTTATCTAATGCCTGGTTATCAGGAGGCCTCATTCTCTCATTCTTGTTCCTCCTTGAGCCACATGTTTCTTCCTGGGGGGTCAATTGCATCTATGCCAGGCCCACAGCACCCTCCCCACACCTCCCTGTGCTGTCTAAAAAAAAAAACTTGGCACATTCCTCCTCTGACAGGTCCCTACCAGAGTTCAAGTCACTTCTCCCCTGGCCAGCCAAGGCCAATTCCAGCTCCTCATCAGTAACACAGAAATAATTTTCTGGAGGGACTTCTTATGACCAGGCTCACAGAATGAGTTAGGAACTGTTCCCTCTGATTGTATTTTCTGGAAGAGATTGTTGAGAACTGACACCATTTTTTCTTCTAATAGTGGATGTAATTCACCAGGGAAACCATCTGGGACTGGTGCTTTCTTTTGTGGAAATATATTAATTACTGAGTAAGTTTCTCTAATAGACATAAGTTTATTCAGATTACTTAATTCTCCTTGTATGAGATTCAGTCATTTGTGTAGTTGGTCATTAGTCCAGTTGATCTATGTTAACAAACCTGTGGGCCTAGAGTTGCTCATAATCTGCCTGTATTGTCCTTTAATGTCCTTAAGTTCAGTCTTGGTGACACCACTTTCATTTCTGACACTATTTTGTTGTTTGTTAGTCTATCAAGAGATTTATCAATTTGATTGATCCTTTCAAAGAACCAGCTTTTGGTTCTATTAATTTCCTCTGTTGTTTGTGGCAGTCAAGTTTTTAGCCGTGTGTATGCTGTCCCAGTCAAGCCGAAGACGTGGTCACCAGGCAGTGCATTCTGTGGCAGCCCCTCCCAGTTTGGAGGACTGTCTGAGAAGTGGACCGGCTGGGCCTTCATTCTCTGGTGGAGCCCCATTTTCTTATGTTTATTTCTTTATAAGACTTGCACATTTTCTCAGGTTCTCCCTTACGTTGAGCCATTCTTGATATAACTACCTTCTTCCTTCCTTTCTGACTTGAAGTATAAATCATATTTTATATTAGAAATTCTTGATATGTTGAATTCTACTTCAGAAATTATCTGTGTTTATTTGACTTAAAAGTATTTTAAATTACTATGTAGTAGATATGTTATTTGGAAAGCACATTTATTCTCTCTTCTGTGGAATCCTGGCATTGCTAACAATGTGTTCTCAGATAGTTTTAAGGTCTCTGCAGGCCTCAGTTCCTGTCTATGGACAAGCACGCTAAGGCCACATCATAGTGTTGGAATAAAGGTTAGGTGTGGCCTCGGCATAGCATTGTAGTAGATGCAGCTTCCTAGAGGTCCTAGCTTCCCTCTCTATGTCCCAGCCAGAAATTGAGTCTTTGATGTGACCACATTTATTGTTGCTGGATAGTTGCTAAATGACGTAACCTCCTTTGGTAGATACCATTTGCTTTATTTTTTGCTTTGCATGTGGTTTCCTTATTTCTGCTTGCAGAACTATGGAACATTGGTGTTTCTGAGGTATAAATGCATATGAGCCACAGAATGTCAGAGGATATGGTGGCTATTGCTAATCTGATGCTCTTGCTTGCAGGGGACGGGGAGGCATCACAGCCCGGCCAGTTGGAGTTGGTGTGCCACGAGGGACGCCAGCTTCCAGGGGAGTCCTTTCGTCCCGAGGGCCAGTGGGTCGGGGAAGAGGACTTCTCACTCCCAGAGCACGAGGAGTTCCCCCAACTGGGTACAGACCTCCACCGCCACCCCCAACCCAGGAGACCTATGGAGACTATGTAAGTAAAGGGGCTGAGCAGCAGCCTTGGTGATCTGATGGACCCCGTTCAGACACAGCACTGGGTGCTGTAACCAGGGGCCCTCCCTTACCTTGCTTTAGTTGGTGAATATTCCACCTTACTTGAGCAAACATTTATTGAGTGCTGAATAGGTACTTAGTACTAAAGATACAAAAATGAATACATCAAATAGCTCAAATCTAAGATATGGAAGATGAATTTGGTGGGGAAGGTCAAGACTAGGGTCAAGGAGACATGTTATTAAGCTTTTACAGGACTTTAATGTAACATTCTTTTATATTTCACTCCAGGTTGCCTCTGACTCATTCAGTCTTTTAAAAAATAATTGCCTACATATACCAAGCTGTATTTACCTTTAAGTGTTTCTCTTAAGCTCTGTGGCTGAATATGGATTCTTAGTGGAAATTCTTTTCAGAGAGGAAAATAAGTTTCCAATTTTTCAAGTTAATTTAGATTAGTTTTTCCAATTGCCATTTGATAATTCTTTGATTCTTTGATACGGTTCATAGACTTAACAAAAGAGAAAGCAAATATATCTGTGAAAACTGGATGGTGGTATGGAGAGAGGAATTCTTTAACAAGAATACAAACCCCCTGGGATTCTTGCTGTAATATTCAGCTTTTACATAAATGAAGAAAATAAGTAGTGTTTCATATTAGTAATTGAAAGTATTAAAGAGTTTATGAACTGTTCTTGAAGACAGGGAAGCAGCGATAGAGCTAAAATGTAAACATCAACAGGTTTTCATGTTTTACCTTATGGAGATTTCTTGCCAAAGGCCCAGCACCTCTTTGCAGTCTCTAGAACAATGCAGGAATCTCCTGGGCCACAGACAGCCACTTCACTGCACCTGCAACTGCTGGAAAGATCGGAGATTTGTCCTGGATGTGCTGAATGTTGTATAATTCACTGAATATGTTGTGTCCTCTTAGGCTTGCAGACATTTGCTCAGGCAGCTTTCTTTGCCTGCAATGCTCTTCTAATACTTCATTTATCTCTTATTTGTCCTTCTAACTTAGGTCAGCTATTACTAGGGGCATTCAGTGGAGGTAGGAGCTGACACAGTGAGCTTTACTATGATCATTACATGTCTCTCTCTCACCTAGACGGCTTCAGGCGGGGCAAGGAGAGAGAGCTTTTATCTCGTTATTCTTGGCAGAGAGGGCATACTGAGAGCTTAGTGAATTATATTTAACAAATAAATCTGTAATAGCTTCACCATTTTGCTTTTCAGTGGGGAAGGATGTGGCTTCTCTATCTTCTCTTTGTATTCTTTACTATTGGACATGTTCCTATTTCCTAATATTCTTTCCAAACTGACAATAACAATCATACCTCGAGCTCTTCTATGAATGCTGATTCTCTTGAGAGTAGCAGAGGCTGTAAAGGAGAGGAAATGTGAAATTCCTTTTTGATAGGTCCAGTGTCTATTTGTTCCAGCTGGGCTTACCTCGAGTTCC